AAGATAAACAAAATTGATAAACCATTAGCCAGACTCATCAAGAAAAAGAGGGAGAGGACTCAAATCAATAAAATTAGAAATGAAAAAGGAGAAGTTACAAAAGACATTGCAGAAATACAAAGCATCCTAAGTGACTACTACAAGCAACTATATGCCAATAAAATAGACAACCTGGAAGAAATGGACAAATTCTTAGAAAGGTATAACCTTCCAAGACTGAACCAGGAAGAAACAGAAAACATGAACAGACCAATCACAAGTAATGAAATTGAAACTGTGATTAAAAATCTTCCAACAAATGAAAGTCCAGGCCCAGATGGCTTCACAGGTGAATTCTATCAAACATTTAGAGAAGAGTTAACCACTCATTCTTCTCAAACTCTTCCAAAAAATTTCAGAGGAAGGAACACTCCCAAACTCATTCTATGGAGCCACCAGCACCCTGACACCAAAACCAAACAAAGATACTACAAAAAAAGAAAATTACAGACCAATATCACTGATGAATATAGATGCAAAAATCCTCAACAAAATACTAGCAGATAGAATCCAACAACACATTAAAAGGATCATACACCATGAGCAAGTGGGATATATCCCAGGGATGCAAGGATTCTTCAATATACGCAAATCAATCAATGTGATACACCATATTAACAAACTGAAGAAGAAAAACCATATGATCATCTCAATAGATGCAGAAGAAGCTTCTCAGAAAATTCAACACCCATTTATGAAAAAAACTCTCCAGAAAGTGGGTATAGAGGGAACCTACCTCAACATAATAAAGGCCATATATGACAAACCCACAGCAAACATCATTCTCCCTGGTGAAAAACTGAAAGCATTTCCTCTAAGATCAGGTACAAGACAAGGATGTCCACTCTCACCACTATTATTCAACATAGTTTTGGATGTCCTAGCCGTGGCAATCAGAGAAGAAAAAAAAATAAAAGGAATACAAATTGGAAAAGAAGAAGTAAAACTGTCACTGTTTGCAGATGACATGATCCTATACATAGAGCATCCTAAAGATGCCACCAGAAAACTACTAGAGCTAATCAATGAATTTAGTAAAGTTGCAGGGTACAAAATCAATGCACAGAAATCTCTTGCATTCCTATATACTAATGATGAAAAATCTGAAAGAGAAATTAAGGAAACACTCCCATTTACCACTGCAACAAAAAGAATAAAATACTTAGGAGTAAACCTACCTAGGGAGACAGAAAACCTGTGTGCAGAAAACTATAAGACACTGATGAAAGAAATTAAAGATGATACCAACAGATGGAGAGACATACCATGTTCTTGGATTGGAAGAATCAACATTGTGAAAATGACTCTACTACCCAAAGCAATCTACAGATTCAATGCAACCCCTAATAAGTTACCAATGGCATTTTTTACAGAACTAGAACAAAAAAATCTTAAAATTTGTATGGAGACACAAAAGACCCCAAATAGGCAAAGCAGTCTTGAGGGAAAAAAGCAGAGCTGGAGGAATCAGACTCCCTGACTTCAGACTATACCACAAAGCTACAGTAAACAAGAAAATATGGTACTGGCACAGAAACAGAACTATAGATCAATGGAACAAGATAGAAAGCCCAGAGATAAATCCACGCACCTATGTTCAACTAATCTATGACAAAGGAGGCAAGGATATACAATGGAGAAAGGAGAGTCTCTTCAATAAGCGGTTCTGGGAAAACTGGACAGCTACATGTAAAAGAATGAAATTAGAACACTCCCTAACACCATACAGAAAAATAAACTCAAAATGGATTAGAGACCTAAATGTAAGATGGGACACTATAAAACTCTTATAGGAAAACATAGGAAGAACACCCTTTGACATAAATCACAGCAAGATCTTTTTTGATCCACCTCTTAGAGTAATAGAAATAAAAACAAAAATAAACAAATGGGATCTAATGAAACTTAAAACCTTTGCACAGCAAAGGAAACCATAATAAACAAGACGAAAAGAAACCCCTCAGAATGGGAGAAAATATTTGCAAACGAATCAATGGACAAAGGATTAATCTCCAAAATATATAAGCAGCTCATGTAGCTCAATATTAAAAAAACAAACAACCCAATCCAAAAATGGGGAGAAGACCTAAATAGACATTTCTCTAAAGAAGACATACAGATGGCCAAGAAGCACGTGAAAAGCTACTCAACATCACTAATTATTAGAGATGCAAATCAAAACTCACACCAGTTAGAATGGGCATCATGAGAAAAGCTACAAACAACAAATGCTGGAGAGGGTGTGGAGAAAAGGGAACCCTCTTGCACTGTTGGTGGGAATGTAAATTGATACAGCCACTATGGAGAACAGTATGGAGGTTCCTTAAAAAACTAAAAATGGAGGTACCATATGACCTAGGAATCCCACTACTGGGCATATACCCAGAGAAAGCCATAATTCAAAAAGACACATGCAGCCCAATGTTCACTGCAGCACTATTTACAATAGCCAGGTCATGGAAGCAACCTAAATGCCCATCGACAGATGAATGGATAAAGAAGATGTGGTACATACATACAATGGAATATTACTCAGGCATAAAAAGGAACGAAATTGGGTCATTTGTAGAGATGTGGATGGATCTAGAGACTGTCATACAGAGTGAAGCAAGTCAGAAAGAGAAAAACAAATACCGTATATTAATGCATATATGTGGAACATAGAAAAATGGTACAGATGAACTGGTTTGCAGGGCAGAAATTGAGACACAGATGTAGAGAACAAATGTATGGACACCAAGAGGGGAAAGTGGCAGGGGGTGTGGGTGGTGGTGGGATGAATTGGGAGATTGGGATTGACATGTATACACTGATGTGTATAAAATGGATAACTAATAAGAATAAAAAAAAATTAAAAACAAAAGAAGGAAGGAAGAGACCAAGCAGTGGCCTCTAACTACTAGTGAGTGAGAAAGGAGGCATAATTACATAAATAGGCAGCAAGGCCAGAGTGGTAAGTAAAATAGCTTGACTGTATAAATCTTTGGCAGTAGCTAATTGCTCACAGTCTATGTAGATTAGAATAGGTTATCTCATTTCAGGGAGAGAGAAATATGTTTTCATTTATACAAGGAATTTATTAGGATAGGTAAGAATAATTTTTAATATATAACTATAGGGAAAGTCAGAAGTGTCGGACTATGGTAGACATTCTTTTTGCTGAGTTGTTCCTATTTGAGGGGAAGTCCCAAGATCAGGAGAAGCAAGATTCTACCTCTCATTGCAGAAGCCAAAGTGGAGAAGATAATCTGTCTTCCCTATCTCTTGGGAGACAGAGTGTGGGCAAATGCCTTAAACATACCCAATCAATTGGTCAGATGCATAGTTTTGACACTTAGGGAATGAAGCAAAGGTCAGTGAAAGATTATATTCAGCACTTATCGGGAAATCAAAAATCCATGACATGGCTGCAAGTGTTCAGTGGTTAAGTCCAGCGTTGCAGTACCAACAGAAATATATAAAGAAGACTGTAAGTCGAAACTTTGGCTATCCTTGCCTCCCTTGGTTCCTGTCTAAACCAGGTTCTCTAGCCCACCTAGCAATTCTTTTAGTTTCTCAATATCTCTCCAGTAAAGCCCTCCCCTGATTAAAGATGATTTCTATAACATGCATTCAAGCACACTGACTACTACAGAGGCATAAATGTGCTTTAGGATAATTATGCCATCAGGGACAGAAACAATTTACTGCCTATGTATATACTACTTCCTGTAGCAGACTGGAAGATAAATAAACTATAATGACAGACATATGCTCAAAACCAGAATATTTACTTCTTCTATTAATATGTTAGATTGAATCAAATGAAAACTATAGTTATCAGACCATTTTTTTTTAACCCCAAAAAATTTTCATGTGGTTTAACCTAACATTTCTGGGTTGTGTTAAAAAGGCAGTCATATCTCTCCCTACCTAGCTGTTCTTAGCTAATTTTAAAAGGTTAGCTTCAAAATCCTTACTTAATTTGTCTAATATTTTTTAAACGCTTAAGCTTTAAAATTCTACTGATAATAGCACAGATAGTTTTACACAGCACTGGTTGAGCCTTATAGAATGGTGACCCCCTTAAAGTCTGTAAATAATAGAGAACTTTGGGAAAAAATAATGTTCAGTAAGAATGAATTAGAATCACAGAAATTTGTAACCAGAAGGACAAAAGAAATTTATAACCAGAGTGTGATTTGACTCACATTTAGTCCTAACTTGCATCTTGTTGGTTTGAAATTCCTCCTGCCGAATGGGATTTCGTATTATTCTTAAAGTCATTAAGAAAAGAATATAAATTTGGGGGTAACTGATTCTAGTTTCCAACACCCAGAAACCTGTTTGCGGTTTTTTTTCCCCTTATATTTACGTATATCATATCTGCTACATTTCCTTTTACATTTACAGAATATTAAAGGTAGTTTCTCACCAAACAATACATATTTACTTTTCATATACTTAAAGGTACTAATTTAGGCCTCAGCATTTCTATTCCTACTCAACCATCCTAATTCCTTTAATATTTCCTCAGGAGTCTATTTTCTAGTCCCTTTCTCATATTCTCTAAACCTCGGGCACATTTGTCAAATCTTCCAAACTGCAGAACATAGTATATCTTAAAAGCGGATGCAATGTGAAAGAAGAAACCAGTTTTGGGGATGGGTGAAAATGTGCTCCTGGAGAAGAGGATCAAAAAGGAATTGATGATAAGGAACATGGAGTGGGAACTACTAGAAGTAGTCAAATACGTACTTACCCAACCATTCTTAATACAAGTGCAAGGCTAGAAGAAATACACTGTGGAAAATGAGATAAAGCAGGTTTGTTTTTTGCGTTTCTTCCTTTATTTTTTAACCTATCACCAAAGTTCTCTAAGAGAGTCCAACAACAGATGATTAGATTTTGCTCTGAATCAATAGTTCCTAGGTCGCCGCAATACTTGCTCACGTGTTGCTGAGCTGACAGGGGATTTTTACCTGAATGGCACTTCTTCCTGTGGAACATCCACATAGTAACGAATAAAAAATCTCTCAGAATCTTCTCGCTCACCATCAGTGACAACACTGCCATTAAGTTTGGAAACCGATGGCAATCTATAAATAAAAAGCAAAAGAGACATAATAAACATATTGAGACTTAGAAATAAAATGATTGGTTTGAGGCCCAGTCTTATTACCTTGAAAGGACTCCTTTGATGTAGCTCTGCTTGTGTACAACCACCAGCATGAACTAACGTGGTATAAAATAAAAGGACCAAAAATATCTAAAGTTTCATTTTTGATGTGACGCCTGATCTTTTATAACCATACCTCACCTTTCAAAATAAGATCCTAGGCAGCACGGTCCAACCTAAGTATCGTGCGAGCCACACACGTAATTTTAAATTCTCTAGTAGCCATATTTTCAAAGGTAAAAATAAAACAGATAAGATTAATTTTAATAGTATATTATATTTAACCCAATATATCCAGGATACAATCATTTCAATCTATAATCAATACTAAAAAAATAACTAAGATACTTAAATGTTCTTAATACTTAAATGTTCTTTTTTTTATATAAAGTGTTTGAAATCCAGTGTGTCTTTTTCACTTACGGCACATTTCAATTCAGACTAGCCATGATTTCAAGTGCTCAAAAGTCCCCCATGGCTGATGGTACCATACTGGACAGCACAGGTCTACAAAGCAGTCAGTACAGGTTGGTCATATAGTTCAGGAATTCATTTATTATATTTACAAAAGAACTGTGTAAAGAAAATAAACTACAAGGCCTGTAAGACTTACTCTTCGTAGAAGAAAAGTATGCTGAAATTTATTTCTTCAGTGGGATATTACTGTGTATGTTAACAACTGGAAAGCAGTAAAGATCTGGTAGGTATTAGTTGGTCAGAAAGATCAAAGTGGTTTATAGAACCACTCTTCTTTAGGGAACCTTAAAGCCTACTGTTCCCCTGTCAAAACTACTATGTATAGTACACGAGAGAACAAATCAAAACTCCGTGGCCCTTTACATCTTAGTCAAGCCTTACTGCTGCTAAAGACACATACAAAAATAAACCCTCATGGGACATTTCAGTAGTCTGGGGGAGGCAGAGGCTGAGACACAAAAGGCAGGGGAGTCAGAGGAAGAAGGTAACAGCATGGTGGTCACATTTAAGTCAATCTACATTGAAGAAGAAAACACAGATGCTACTCTCTTAAGTTTTACACTAATGAAACAGCCCAATTTTCAGGTATTTACACTTTAAATGACTTCTATGTTAACACAGAAAATAAGGGTAACTAAAATAGAGTTGATTCCCTATTATACCTACTTTTTCTTCATGACCCAAAATAGGATTTCAAATATTGTAAATATTGAAAAGTATAAAAATAGAATAGATTTGTGAGGGAATTTTTCAGTGGTCTTGGCAGATCAATCATATTTCACATTTTTCTCATCATATTGCATTCGTTTTCCTCTAGGATTTGGAGCTACAGAAGCAGCTCCTTTAAGCAGTCTGTTCTAGAGATGGATAAACATACAGTGCGCTCCCCTCACCCCCAAACAGTGCATTATCCCTTTAATGAAACAACAAAGCCCCGAGAAAAGAAAGCAGAATAATCAGTACAACAGACCTGGCTATTACCAATTTCCTTCGCTCCTCGGTGGTATATGGCTGAAGAAGAGGAATTCCTAACAACCTCACTTCTTCAAGTTTAGGGAATGAGTTTAGTTTGTCAATGTCTTCCCAGGACCGCAAACCTAATTTGAGAAATATATTGTTTAAGTAAATCCAGAAAAGCACACAAAATGAGAAGATAAACAGAGCAAAAAAATTTATTTCCATTAATAGGTTCTTCAATGTTATAATGATCATAAACTAGTTAGAGATCCTGGAATTTTTCTTTATCCAAGGGAAGAATGGAATAAAACACCATAAAAACTTCCCTGTAACCTCTCTTATCCCTGTGATCCCAGTGCTCAAAGGACGCCCTTTATTCTCCAACATCCACTCATCTACTGATTCTCCACCCAAATGGCTGGTAAAGGGGGTCACTGGTGGTTTAATAAGCAGGATGGATGCCATAATTACATAATTGAAAAAGTGATGTGATCAACTCTTTCATCAGACAGAGACTCAGAGAACATAACTGTTGATCAGAGTGGACACTGGCAGAGTAAATTTCTACCTAACAAACACTAAAATGGGCAAGGTCAGTAGAACCCGAAACTAAATATCATCTTTCAACTGTCCTCATTTTGGGGACAGGGAAAACAGGTTCAAAATTTAGAACACACAAACAAAATCAAAAACAAAAAAACTGAACCCTTGGGTAGGAAAACATGAAACAAATTAAGATTGTTCAGACCTAAAAGGAAACTCTTCCTAGAGCTGTGAACAAATGTATCATCCTTGGCACTGGTAGGAAAAATATCCCAGTAATGATGAAGCTGGTCAGTTTTACAACACATTAAATCTATTGCAGAAAACAACGCAGTCCCTTCCTATTTCTATCAACCTTCAGCAAGGGTAAAGGCAGAGGAGCAGTTTGTGAGGACCCTGGTGCAAAAATTATCCCAGGTCACTGTCCTCTTCCCTTTAGAATGGCATTGCCATCTAGGAGGAAGAATAGAGTTAGCTCAAGGGATGTCAAGTTGTGAAATAAACAGCTTCCTTATGCAAATCACTTGTTTTTAAGACTTAATTCCTGCCCTTATAATCTCCGTGGTGGAATAAACCATTTATGTTTTTTCAGTTATAGGTTAGAATTATTTTTACTTATGTAGTTGTTTTAAAAATAGGCTGAAAGACAATACCAAGAGAATGAGAGGAAAATCCATACACTGGGAGAATGCATTTGCTAAAGGCATACTGATAAAATATACAAAGAACCCTTAAAACTCAACAAGAAAATGAACAATCCGATTAAAAAATGGGTGGAAAACCTGAACAGACACCTCGCCAAAGAAGATATACAGATGGCAAGTAAAGCATATGAGAAGATGTTCCACATCATATGCCATCAGGAAAATGCAAATTAAAACAACAATGAGATACCACTGTACACATATTAGAATGGCCAAAGGCCAAAACACTCACAGCACCAAATGCTGTCAAGGATGTGGGGCAACATAAATGTAGAAAGGAACAATAGAAAAAAATCAGGTGCAGGTAAGAGGGTTGTTGTAGATTAAGAGAGTATATTTTATCTGTTAAAGATACATACTGAAGATTTTAAGGCTGAAATTACATGATTGCTGAGATCTGCTTTTAAAATATTCCCCCCAAAGGAAAAACAGTATGGGGGATAAATACAGGAAGCAAGATGCTAATAAATGTTGAAACTGAAAAAAAAAAAAAAGGATGTGGAGCAGCAGGAAGTCTCACCCATTGCTGGTGCAATGCAAAATGATACAGCCACTCTGGAAAAGAGTCCGGCGGCTCATTTCAACACTACATGTACTCTTACCATATGATCTAGCAACTGCACTCTTTGTTATTCACCCAAATGACCTGAAAACGTACGTCCACACAAAAACCTGCACATGGAGGGTTACAGCAGCTTTATTAATTAAACCAAAACTTGGAAGCAATCATGATGTCCTTCAGTTTGTGAGTGGATAAACTGTGGTATATCCAGACAATGGAATATTATTTAGTGCTAAAAGAGGAACATTCTATTAAGCCATGAAAAGGCATGGAGGAAATTTAAATATGTAATAGTAAGTGAAAGAAGCCAGTATGATTCCAACTATATGACATTCTGGAAGAGGCAAAACTATGGAGACAGCAGAAAGATAAGCGGTTGCCAGGGATTAGGGGGAAGGGAGGGATGAATAGGCACAGAAGATGGTTTGGGTTGTAAACCATATATTATGTACAATACTACAATGTGTGTCATTACAGATTTGTCCAAACCCACAGAATGTACAACACCAAGAGTGAGCCCTGATGTAAACCATGGCCTTTGGATGATGACGTGTCAATGCAGGTAAACTGAAAGGTGTCACTTAGTTGCTGGGATGTTGATAGCGGTGGAGGTTGTTCCCATGTAGGGCGGGGAGTATACTGGAGCTCTGTGTACTCTCTGCTCAGTTTTGCTGTGAATATAAAGACTCTAAAAAATAAGGCTTATTAATTTTTAAAAATAGGCTAAAATATTCATTCCTGTGATATACAGAATCAGATGGCAACAAACTGGTAATCAATTACATGTAGACACTAGAAAAGGAATGTGAGAATTTGAAAGCCATAGCAGGTTGGGATTCCTCAACCTAAATCAAGAGAAAAGTCTAGTTTGTAATTCTCTGTACTCTTTTTACCCTGCCTTTTACTATCCAATTCATCAATTTCATTTCACTCCTTTCATAGCATGACCCCTTTAATATACAAAATATTAATAGCTAATATAATGCTATGCCACACAAATATTTGATAAATACTGTTATTTATCAGAGCATTTATGGAAATGAATGCCCTAAATTTAGCTAATCATTAGGCATCTGCAGGCTTCCCTGGTGGCACAGTGGTTAAGAATCCGCCTGCCAGTGCAGGGGACACGGGTTCGAGCCCTGGTCCGGGAAGATCCCACATGCCGCGGAGGAACTAAGCCCATGCGCCACAACCACTGAGCCTGTGTTCTAGAGCCCGCGAGCCACAACTACTGAGCCTGCGAGCCACAGCTACGGAAGCCCATACGCCTAGAGCTCGAGCTCCGCAACAAGAGAAGCCACCACAATGAGAAGCCAGCGCACCGCAGCGAAGAGTAGCCCCCGCTCGCCGCAACCAGAGAAAGCCCGTGCGCAGCAACAAAGACCCAACACAGCCAAAAATAAATAAATTAAATAAATAAATAAATTTTAAAAATATAGGCATCTGCATGTCACTCTTGTAATTCATCCTGTAAGAAGGCAGAGCTGTGACTGACAGAAATACACTTTCACTGTATTTCATGCATAAGTTCAGATCAATCTGCATGTAGAATGAGAACAAGCCTGTTCCTCACCTGCCTTGTGGAGGCTGATGGATCGCAGATTAGGAAACAACCTAGCCAATGAATCATCAGGCTCCTCAATAGCATTCACATGGTTGTTGGCCAGGACGAGAGTATCCAGTGAAGGAAACATAACTCCTAACTTGCGTATTTCAGTCCAGTCTTGGAGGTTATTGTCTGTTATATGTAGTAGCTTAAGAGAAGGACAGCAAATAGAAGGACAAGACACTGTTTCATAGTCATTAAGGCACAGGAAGAGCTCTTCCAAACTGCAGAGAAAAAAGGAAATATTTCATTGTTTAAAGCAGTTAAGTTTCTACTCTGCACCTATTTTCAGTCATTCAATAAATAAGCGCCTACTATGTGTGAGACTCTGCTAGTGTTGCAGAGAAAATTATAAAGATGGCTTTCTGAAGCTTAAAATACAGCTGGGAAGGCAAAACCTAAAATACATAAAACAGCAGAGAATGATATAACCCAGTACTAAATTAATTTTGTGCTTAAGTAAATAAGTGCTAAATGAAGCAGCACTAACCGTAAGTACAACAGTACTTCATATAGGAATAGGACTGAAATTGTGGTTGGAATAGTCAGGAAAGGATGCCTGGCCTTGAAGGAGGGGTAGACTTGGGTAAATTGAGAGGACACAGAAGGAAATTCTAGAAACAACATGAACAAGTATTTAGAAAAAGAAATAATAACTATCATTCATTGAATTCCTACACTGTGTCAGGTCCTGTGCAGGTGCTTTATAGACTATACTTCTATTTCTGCAATTTTATAGACAATTATGTTCATTTTATAGACAAAAGTTTATCAAAGGTCATAAGGATAGTAAGTGGAAATGGGATTTAAAAGCTCATTCCATGCCATGCTAGATGTTGCATGCAGTGAGAAAACCAATCTCATTAGAGGGAGAGGGAGAAACTAAGATGGAATGAGTAAGTTGAGACCAGATTCTGAAAGGCTTTCATAGTTTCCATATTTAGACAGTCAAGGAGACTACAGCTTCATGTATTTCTTTAAACTACTTCCTTTTAATATTTATGTGCATATACAAAGAGAGATACAAACAAAACAGAACAGAGCATTTCTAAGCTGACAGACAAAAGTATAATTTCCTGCTTAAATTATTGAAAGGAATACTAGGTCCATTTTCCCATCATGCAAGCTAGGCACTTAATCATCTGAGTGTTGATATATTTTAGAGACAATATGATTTTTTTTCCCTCCCAAAGAAAAGTGCTAAGGCAAAATTCTGGAATCAGGTAATCAGAAGATTAAAATGGAAAAAGGCTGGGTTGATCTCGAAACGATAAGTGCTTCTCAGGGATATCTTCTCGCCAAAGGATGACATATCCCATGTCTTGGTGCTACCCAACACTGAACAAGTATTCCAATGAAAATGTTACTAGATTACCCTCACAGCCTCATTTAATTACTTCATTTTTCTAACCTCATTCTCCATTCAATCTGCAGTTCTAGTATTTCTGAGATGGGAGACCAGCAGTAACTCTATGTACTAACACAGACGGCAACATGGCTCCCTCTCCATCATGCTCTCTGGGCTTACTCTGGTAACTCCTGCAGTATCGTGTGGACTGTGTCCCAAGAAGCTTTGCTGTTGTTGAGAACAAGTTTTCGAACCCCGGAGAAGGACCCAGCACACGTTCTTTCTAAAACCGATAAATTCAGAGGGTTGGAACTCAGGTTTAGAAACTCCAACTGGGGAACATTTGACACAATTTTACTGACCTGTGGAGAAAAAAAGGAAAAGCATATCAGGCAGTAATCAGAGCTTTTAAACAACAATCATACTCAAGAAAACCTAAGTGAGTGGGTCTCCAGGCAAAGGGCCATTTGCATTATGGAGTCCTATTTAGTGATAGTACCTGCAGAGAGGCATAAATAATTGCGACAAATCATGGTAAATAATTTAATCTCCTTCTATGAAATAGTAGCATAACTGAAAATTAATGGTAGAAAAGAAAAATTTTCCATGTTACCTTTGGCAAAGTTTTTGATTCTACTCTGTATAATATTCTCTTCGATATCACCACATGATATTTTGGAGAAAAGATCATTTAGATGACATTTTAGGCTACAAGTTTTAAAGAGCTGGGATTGGGTCATGTACAGTAATTCTCTTTGAATATCTCCTTCCTTCCATCCTCAGTAGAATATTAAGGCTAATTGAAGGTTTATTAAAGACTACATGGTAACAATTCAGGTATTCAAAATTGATCACATAGTCACAATCACTTAGAAAACAGTTTTGGCTTGGCTCAAAGATGCACCAAACTTTAAAATATATTTACTCAGAAGTAAAAAGCATTCATGACTATGTTACAAAAGAGAAAACATGATATCAATTTAATGATTTAGCTAGCAACTAGGTAGACAGAAAAAAAGAAAAGGAAATGAGCTTTACTGATTACTGACCTTAACTATTTGCTCTGCATTGTACTAGGTTTTTAAAATATAACTTATTTCACTAATTCTCAAAACAACTTGTAAGATAACTAATATTCTTTTATTTTAATAAATGAGGAAACTGAGGCTCGCAGATGTTAAATAATTTGAGTAAGATTTCAGAGTCACAAAAGCCAAACCTAGGATTTAAAAATCAGAGCCATTGTTCTTTCCAATACACCACAACAAGTAAATCATAAATATAACCAGAAAAAATGAAGAACTAGCTTAAACAAGTATGATATAAACACTAGAAGCCCAGTAAATGTATTAAGCATCAATGAGCCAGGCAACATGGTAACTGAAAGTTATGAGAAAAGGAGTAGAACAGAATAGTTAGGATTGGTTTTAGAATCAGAAAACCTGGACTCAAACCAGGTTCTAACACTTCCTAGTTGTGTGGTTTGACAAGTTACTTAACCTTTCCAAATCTCAGTTTCCTTATTTGTAAACTAGAGAAAACAGTTCCCATCTATTTTACAGTATTGTTGGTAGGATTAGATGAGATACATGTGTAAAGCACTTAACAGTGATTGGTACATATTTTAGAAACTTGTTTCCTTACCTACTGCCCAAGAGAATGTAAAAGCAGGGATAGTACTTACCTGGTTCACTACTGCAAAGTGGGCACTTAATGTTTGTTGATTAAATTAATGGCACAAAACCATTTAATAAATGTAACTATGACTAATAGGATATGTACAGTATGAACCAGTATCTCAACCCTGATTATATGTCATATCACATTTATTTAAATATGTCATATTTAAAATAATTAGTAGAATTTTAAAAATATACTGATTCCCAGGAGCCACCATAAACTACTGAATCAGAAGCTTCACAGGTGGGACGAGCTTCATGGTTGGGACCTGGATACCTGTTTCTTTTCAGAGCTCCATAGGTAATGACAAAAATGTATCCAGTGTCGAGGACTATGGGGAGAAAGAAAAGGCAGTCTGCACTTTACATTAGGTCTGTGTACTATGTACTGTACAGTTTAGGAGCTCTAAAATCAGTGAGAAGTAAATTAATTCCAAGAAGGTTCGGAGAAGTATGTAAGAGGGAATGGTCTTCACACACACTAGTTCATCTAGTCTAACACACCCTCTGAAGTAGTACCGTATTTATTTTCATTTCATAAATGAATAACTAAACTATCTTTCAGAGGAAAATATACTAGGCTTCAGTTTAAAATGTAAAAGATTCATACCAGTCAGCATATATTCTCCTGTTTGGTCTCTTCTGTGACCAAATGGTAACAAGCATTTGTGTGATATATGGCTAGGATCTGGAGTTTAGTGTGTGGCCACAACACAGCTAAACAGTCCACACAAGGACCAATCCTTCACTGCAGTCTACCACCTGGATACCAATATATGAAGGCCTTTCATACATAAGATGATGACTAGCTATGCTTCACCTCTTTTAAGGGCAAAAAAAAAAGATGAAAAGGAACTGTGCTCCAACTACAGCATGGAGAATAACTGCTAATTATAGGTACAACCCTAGTTAAGTAAACAACACATAAACCTTTGCTAACCACAACCCTTCATATTTTATTTTTGTAATAAAGAAGAAAACACCCCCCAAAGTGGAGACTATCAGAGTCTTTGAAGCAATTTCTGAAAGAATTCCCAAAGCTAGCAGATACATGATGTGACCTTCTTCATAGTCTGCATCTGCACTACTGTCCAATGAGAATAAAGATTTAAAACAATGACTCATCAGCCCTAGAATATCCTAAAAAAGATAAAATTGGACTATAGTTTAATAATCCAAGCAGGAAAAATAATATATGTTAGAAGTAAATATTTTCTTTAAAAGGTTAAAATTAGGGCTTCCCTGGTGGCGCAGTGGCTGACAGTCTGCCTGCCGATGCAGGGGACGCGGGTTCGTATCCCGGTCTGGGAGGATCCCACATGCCGCGGAGCGGCTGGGCCCGTGAGCCATGGCCGCTGAGCCTGCTCGTCCGGAGCCTGTGTTCCGCAACGGGGGAGGCTGCGGCAGTGAGAGGCCCGCGAACCGCAAAAAAAACAAAAACAAAAAAACGTTAAAATTAAAAAGGATTTTGTGTAACCTTAAATTAATGATAATATTCTGGAAAATATTGTATTCATTACACAGGTAAATTTATTCATGGTAGAAAATATCTTAATAGTAAAGGCTATTATTATTCAGTGAGTGTCTAGGGCAGTATACTGACTTCTCTTTTTTAAATTCTAAAAATAAAGACGCTTCTAGCTGGAGTGAGTTCAGGACACTCATGTGCAGAAACATGGAGATGAACTTAGATCACCTTTTAGATCTCCAAAACTCTATGATTTAATAGAGGACCCTCTACTCTCAGTTTTGAAAAGGAAGAAACTAAAGTTTTAATAAAAATGGGGAAAGGGTAGTAAGATAACAATCTGTAATTTATACCCAAGCTATTCTCTATCTCACCCATGGTGAATTCCTCCCTCCTCTCAACTGCTTAGTGTAATGTCTTTTATAAAATGGTTTTGATAAGGAAAGGAGGAAAAAAGAGGTACCTTGGGAAAAGTCAGACAAAAATCTACTTAGCCAAAAAATTCAAATCAAAAGCTAAAAAATGCGTCATTTTTTTTATACATAGATGCCCAGTTTTAGATGGACAGAGACAAATCTTTGCCTCTCCCCAAAGCATTACACTTCTCACTCATATTTATATTAGTCTCTGAATATAAAGCAGCCAGTAGTTTAAACTATAAAAGAAGATACTCATAACATTAGTGATCATTCAAAAACACTAAAAGAACCAACTAGATTATTCTGTTCCATGTTGGTATATCAAATACTGGCTGAAATAAACTTAGTTAATGGCCAGGGACAAATGATCTTCTGGGTAATCAAATACATGGGTTGCAATGGGTTGCAATGTAATGTCTTAAAACTGTGACCTATGAGGCATTTTGCAGCTTGGCAAAGAGTATAATCAATCCTAAAAATCAATATTCTTTCGTTGTCAGTACTTCTCCCATCTCTCTGTGTTCTGATATATATTCTAGAAGATTGGGACCAACTACAGTTAAGGCTAAGGACAAAACATAAAGGAATGATGAAAACAAAAATAAATGGAAACCTGAAAGGTAGCAGCAACAAACATTCATTTGAAAACTGCCTGAAATCAGACTATAGGGCACTTACAGGAATATACAAACTGAGCACCAATAGAATACAAATAAACATGTGACCCTCTGGCTGTATCTGTCAATGTGAGCTGGAAAATATTCAGTGGAGACCTTTGTCTAAGCGGAGAAAAGGCTGAATTACCTAGTGTAAACTCTTGTGTTCTGATCCATGTTGACATTGTTCTTCCGAGGCAGCAACTATATCACTATTAAACTGTTTCTACCAGTTAGCAAAAGCTTATGTATGTGGTCAAAGTATAGGTCAAAGCAGAAAGCACAACACCTTTATGAAATTTTTACTCCCGAAGAAATAAATTTAGGGGAATCAGCCTGTGAACATAGGAGCTGAAATGACTCAGGGTAAGAGCTGGTCTGAATTGTCACCCATGCAGGTCAGAAATCTCACCAGAGGCTCAGCAGGACTCCTGAGGGAACTGTAGAGAAGGAGGATGAACAAGGTCGCTCTGTTTGCATCTGTGCATGTGGACAGAGCATGCATGTCAATTCAGCATCTCAAAGGACCCAGAAGGCACAGATTGTAATTTGTTGAACAGTGAACTATAACAGTTGTTTGGATAAGTAACTCAATCAATAATTACATGGACAAATAGAGACTGTTTCTTGGAACAGCCAAGTAAATCTGTATATATTAACACATGACTTAGGAATCAAGTGACGTGCATCTCAAAGAATTTGGTAAACATCTTAATAAAAATAGGAAATATAACTGGTAGCACAGATACCAGATTAAACAAGACTATGAAATAGACGAATATAAGAAAAGCTAAAGAAAAATGGGTTATAGATAGATTTTTCTTAAACAAGAAAGCTGTCTTAGAATCTGTATCATATTTAATATCTACCAAGTGTCTCGATGATTAATTTTATCAACAGTCCTGTCTTATGGATGATAAAGGATTAAGTGAATGTCTTAAGATCACAGGAAAAGTTAGAACAAGTAGGCCTGATCAAACCTTAAGATACAATCATTTATTCATTAAGGCATTCAGCAAACATTTGAATGCCTAGAATGCCAGTGCTGATGATAAAAAACAAAACCCTGGATAAGCTCATGGTCTAGTAGAAAAACTGTCAAGTAAGCAAATGATTGTGCTACATTGTAATGAATCCCTTTATAGCAACATGATACAGGTGTTAGGATAATCTAATTCTGCCTGAGAGTCAGGGAAAGTTTGAGAGGAACAGCAACTTGGGCCAAGTCTTGAAAGATACATAGGAAGCAACTGGGTAGACAGAGGAGAAAGAGAACAGTAGATTTAGGATGAGTAAAAGCAAGGAAGCTTTTCATGTCCACATTTATCATGAGCTGCAAGAAAAGCACATGGCTAAAGATGGAGATAAAACTCTAGAAATAGCAAAGGGCCGTATGATAGAGGGTCACACTTAGAGAGTTCAGACCATAGTTTGTAGGTGGTGAAAAGCAGCGAAGGGACTTGAAGCAGGAGTTTCATAATCACACTTCATTTATTAAAAGGAGTCTGGTAGCACTGCAGAAGGTTAGCTTAGAGGAAGCAGAGTAAAACCAGAGTCAGGAAAACCCATTAGGACACTTTTCCAATACTCCAAACAGGAAATAAGAACCTAAATTAAGTAGGAAGAACTATTTTTCTCTTATTCTTAAGGGTAGCTTCTATCAGGTCATGTTATAATCAGGTAGGTAATGTTATATATAATAATAAGAGAGAATGTCATAATACTTTTATTTGTGCAACTTGGCTTAGAGTTACTCTGAGGTCAAAGGCGTCAGTTGTATCAAATTACCAGTGCGACTTAAAATAAGGAAAAGTTCTAAAAGATTTGGAATAAATTTCAGTAACAAGAATAAATATTTTTATAACCTTAGTTTCGAGCTCCAGTAATTTTTATGTCAATTTATAGTAATAAATGTTGAAGCAGTAGCAGAGAATGGGCACAGGATGTGTAAACTAGTGAAACAGTAGAGAATTTAATGCACTGTTTGCAATCTAAACCTCTGTGGTCTTATTAACCTCTTGATGCCTGGAATAAAGTTCCTCAGTGCTTTTCACATTAATGAAAAACAAATCAGCAATAACAAAGTTCATTGAAAAATCACCATAGAAACAGTTGAAGCAGTCAGTTATTTCTCTTGAGACATACAGAGAAGAATCTCGAGTGAGAACCAGAATTCAGCAGCATACGTAACAACGTAAACAATAATACAGTGAGTTATTCACCAAAATGCAGCAGTATAAAAACTTTACCTCGTGCCAGTCTTCGAGTTTGTTGTCAGAAAGATCTAGTTCTGACACGTGAGCACAGAAGGCAGCAATTTCTTTTTCATCTCCTGCACAGGTTATTCCACAGCTGTTCAACACCAGTACACTTGGGAGGTTGAGGCGATCTGAATCATGGGAGAAACAAAATACTTTCTACGTCAGCCTAATTCTTGTCTACATACATTCAGCCACCAGGAATCAAAATCGAATTGTGTGAAATTACACAAGGACCTTGAAAATAGAAGATACGCTGTGATCCAAGGGTACTGAATTCTAAGGGGAGACAGCCAAATATGGCCCAGGAGATCAGAAGAACTAGACCAGTACCCCCAAAAAGTCCTGGAGGTTTCACCTCCTGGCACCATTGTTTATCTCAACTACCAACAACAGAACCATCATCCATGCTGTCACCTTATCATGTGACACTAGATCCATGTGACTCATGTCAGGGCTACCACTGTGTTCTCATTGGCCTCAATTCTTTCTTTTTTAAATTTAGTTCAAAAGTATCATTCTGGATAGCTCTTTTCTCTCTGTCTGATTTGTATTTTCACCTTTTGTTGCCTCTGGAAATTATCTCAAACCATTAGATAGGCTATCTGCTAAACCACTTCTGTTCTTCAAGTTCATATCACTCAAGGAATCTTCCTCGCTTACGTGGATCCATTTAAAAATCTATATCTTTCTCCCATACTTGTCCATCAATCATTCCCCTTTCATATCCATGTAGAATTTGTCCCTTATGAAAATCAGACTTTTAAAAATATATAATTATAATGAGAGAAAATGTTTTAAAGTCTTAAACCATTCAATGAATTCAGTCAAACTATTGCTTGTTCAAAAGTATGTCAATAAAATCACTCTTCCTATCTCTAATAAAAAGGATAAATATGAGAATTCAACCACTCTTTTCCCATTTGGTACAAAGCCAAGGCTCACAAAAGTATATTTCATTAATGGAAGCCTCAAATAATATGAACTTTCAACTTAGTACTTTTCACAGAATCAATTTTCTCAGAATGGGAGTGGATCCTGAAAAAATGAGCAAGTAAGAAGTCCACTTCTTTCTGCTGTTTCAGTTTATATGGATTGATAAGATAGTTGCATTGAGAAATAATAAACATTCAGTAACCTTTGGACACAGGAACTACAACACTGTTCAATATTCATCTCCCATCACTACAAAGAACTACTTCCAATAGCAGTTAATTACAACATCAAGCTAAAATGCAAACCAAAAACACACCTTGCACGTTTCTAGTTGTAGATCTTTGCTCACATAATAATCCCCCTCCTAGAATGTCTTTATCTCCTCTCTAACCAAATTCTACATTCTTGAAGGGTTAGTTCAAATCTCACAGCTTTGAACCCTTTCTTGATCCTATAAATTAACTCTCTAAATTTCTTTCCCAATCACTGTGCCGTTCATTTGACTCAACATAAACTACCTTGTGTTATTATATATTTTTGTAAATGTGAATATGTTGTAATCCAATAAGCTGTAAGGTCACTGAGGGCACAGGCCAGGCTTGTACTATCTGCACCCTCCAAGTTCCTTGAAATATTATCACTCAAATATTGCTCTCACCCTATGAGTGCAACTAGAATGCCTTTTGGCCAATCTGCAGGAAAATAAATCCTTTCAGGTTTTCAAAAACACTGAAATCATAGCAAGGGAGAAAGAGTATTCAACTCATAATTCAAAATAAAGGGAATCATTTGCAAATAAGGCAATATTCTGGTTTAAAGTCCTAAGTAAGCTCCAGTAAAAAAATGTTTTAGGCCCCATCTTTCTTACCTTTCATAGGAGAGCCCTGAGGTGTGGCTGGGACATGGACTCCCATCCCAGGACCACGGCGGTAAGGAAAGTTTTCAGGACTATATTTTTCACATAATACTTGCATAAAACTCCTCCCACTAGGTTGATCCATCTTCCTTTCCTAAAATTCTACAAGAAACCAAGAAATCATCAAAATTTATTTATTTACTCATACAAGAAATACTTATTGACAATCAATTATTTATAAGGTACTAAGCTAGGCACTGCATACACATAAGACAGGCAGGGAGAAGAGTTAGATGCTGCAAAAATACAGAGGAAAGATGATGAGGGCCCAAAGTGGTACAGTGGTAGTACAAATAGATTTAAGATCAACTTAGAAAGCAAGCTTTTCAGGAGTTATAGGGGTTGACGGGAAGGTGGAGTCAAGGCTGACCCCCAGGTTTCTAGTACAGGAGACTAGGTGACTAGTGACACAACTAAGCAAAAAGAAAATATGGAGACATCTAGTTTTAAGGAGGAAATTGATGAATTCTATTTTATACATGTTCAATCTGAGGCATCTGTTTCAGCGGAACAGTCTGAAGTTGGGTGAGAAAAGTGAGCTAGCGGCGAAGATTTGGACCTCATCAGGAAACATCATGAATAAGAACCGTAGGGCACTAGAACTCTCTGGGACACTGATATTTCAGATACAGGCAGAGGAAGCAAAGCCATGACGGAAAAGTAAAAGGGATGATCAGGAGTGAAGTGTATAGCCAACATTTTGAGAAGTTTTGGTGAGAAGGGGAGGAAGAAGATGGGCTGATAAGGTAGGCGGGAACAGGAGAGAGTACAGGATTGGGGGCAATTGCCAAGATCTTTCCTCTTAAAATAGGAGAGAACTGAATACGGTTATAGATTATAGAGAAGCAGCAAGTACAGCTGGAGAGTCTGAGAATGACTCCTGGTACCTGGTCCTAGGAAAAACCAGCAGGAATGAGCATTAAAAAACTTCTAAAAGGCTGTTTGGTACTACCCATATAGTACTCCAAACTGTTTACCATTGGTGGTGATATATTTACTTCACTATGCTGCACTGGTTTACTTTTCCTTATACAGTTTAATTATACTGAATGTTAGGTATTTTTCTCATGCGATTGTCCTAACTCCACCGTTACATTATGAAGGGCAGCAGTGCTATGCGAGTCTACTTTTCCAGTATTGATTCACAGCATCTGGCAGAGTACACTACACACGGTAAGGGCTCAATAAATGCTGCTGAGAACTAAAATCACGAGCCTCCAGTATGCTGAGCGGAAAGAGAAGATGCAGGATCAGGAGTGGGTTTAAGTCCCACCCGGTTCTACCACTTAATAGTTTTGTGCCATCAGGCAAGACAGCGTATTTCTCTGGGACTCAAACGTCTTATTCTGTAAAATAAGATATTAATATCTATACTGCTTGGAGTTCAGCGTTACTGCAGAGCTCTAAAATGTACAAGTGCTCTATTGAGATTATAGGGCTCTTGTAAAGCTCTAAAACACACAACTGTTATTACTTGTAACAGGAATTTGTAGTATGGTAGAAAAAGCACATAAACAGAAAACTTAGGCTCTGTCATTTACTAGCTGGGTGAAACATAAGCTAGTTAGCTAACCTCTCTCTACTGCAATTTTCCCACTATGGATGAGCTAAAATTTTCCTCTTGGGTTTGTAACAAGAATTTGAAAAGGGCATAAATATAAAAGTGGTCTTTAAACTTGGTCCATTTTCTAGATTACTACCAGGACCACGAGTACTGTACTTCGTGAAATCAATTCACAAATGCCTAGAACACAGAGTAGACACTCATTGAGCACTTGTCCAAAAGTTTTACCCGTACTTAATTTATCAAAGTTTAGACTACGTAATACATTTCATAACAAGTATATCACAAGTCACCTTGAAAATATAGGGCTGCCCTCGGTCAGGGTCATCATTTGGGAGCTTAAGAACAGAGCCTGTTTTAGGACAAGAGAGTTTGTTCTTTCTGTCCAGAGTGGTAAGTATATGCTGCTGTCCTCTATCCCAGCACTGTGTCAAAAGTGAACTGTGTGGGTTCATCTAGGACTCCAGGAACTTTCAGGTGGAAAGGTTCTTTTTCAATGTAAACTCACCACCAACAGCATACAACACAGAGCAGGTGCTATGCCACTAGTGACAGGCATCATAGTTCTTATCAAAGACCTGTCTCAAGCAGAATGCCAACAGAATTTTCAGAAATGTTTAACAAAAAGTCAAAGAAGTTACACTGCTATCTTCCATACAACTGGCAGTTCAAAAGAATAAAAAGCGTGTGGGAGGGTGCTGAAGTGTCAGTGTCAAAATAATAGTCACCGAGTTTAAATAGCATCTTTTAACTGAGCTTCAGAATCACTTAAACTCCAACCTCTTCTATCCAAGGGCAATAATCTTATACACAATTTATTTACTTATTTATTTATTTATTTATTTTTTGCGGTACGCGGGTCTCTCACTGTTGTGGCCTCTCCTGTTGCAGAGCACAGACTCCGGACGCGCAGGCTCAGCGGCCATGGCTCACGGGCCCAGCCGCTCCACGGCATGCGGGATCTTCCCGGACCGGGACATGAACCCATGTCCCCTGCATCGGCAGGCGGACTCTCAACCACTGCGCCACCAGGGAAGCCCTACACAATTTAAATATAGACAAGCTGAGTGTGGAACTAAAGAAACCTCAGCTAAAATTGGAGTCTGGACAGACCTATAGGCAGAGCCCTCACCCTTGCCACGCAACATTAATGACTCCAAATGGGAAGAGATGCAGGCCTACATCTCTGACAGGAAAGTGTTGCCTACTTTACTATCCAGCGGGAAGAAGAAAACTCTTTGCTCAATGACAGCCCAGCCAATCAGAGACCACAGCAGCCCAACCAACCTCCATACTTCGGACTCCCAGCTTCCTCCAATGGACTGTTTGGTTTTAACACACTCCCCCTCCCTTCATTTCCTCTATAAAAGCAAGTTCCCCTTCCTTGTTCTCTGGATTTGCCTGTGGTCTGCCACAGTTTGCACATCTCAAATTGCAAATCCTCTGGCTATTCCCAAATAAACTGGCTTTTGCTGGTTAAATAACTGGCTATTATATTATTAAAATTGATATGAGGGATGGTGAGGTTAGAAACATATGCAAGTCAAAATAAGTGTTAGTAAGCAAGCAATCATGGGAACTGAAAAGTTACTCCTTATGGCCCCGTGCTTTCACAATGCTTCCAAATAGTCTGCTTTTTCTTTCCCTAAAGACTTAAAAGCAATGCCAGTCACCTTCATTGGTCATTTTCCAGGATACTCTATTGGAACAGCATTCCAGGCATGCAGATAGTGTACACAATAATACATGGGTTTCGAATTAGAACATTAAGATTGCAAAATGGATCAGTGACATAAATCTACTCAAAATCTGTTGGGGCAGTTGGAGGAGGAACAGTAGGTGGGAAAGGAAAACTGAAAACCAAATAGATTGAAAAATGAGGACATACAGGACGGAAGAAGATCTTTAACTGGAGACTTTTAAAAGGTTTTTTTTGGAGGTGGAGGGGTAATCTATGACTTTCTGGCAAGAACCAGTGTCAAATAACATCTGACTACCTTCTACAGTTGGCAGAGGTCTAATACATTTGTAAAAGTGTGCTGAATTGGTGCTTAAAGCCAGGGAGCCAGGAATCTGGGGTGATGTTGCTTGGTTCCATTACCAAGTCATGGAGTGTGCCTGTGAAAAACTCAACTCCTTTGTGCCTCAAATCCTGACTATAATATGCTTTCATAAAGCACTTGGTAAAAGTGCAAGTTGGAGGATAAGGTGCTCAGCCCAGTCATCTAAGTAACCTCAATAGCTATCAATTTATACTTTCTGTTCCCAAGGTCAGGTCAAAATTAGTATGAAACGCAACACAACTGGAAACAGAAAATAGGCCATGTCTGACCACGAAGAGTGGAAGAGATGCAAGATATAGCCTTATGCTGGTATGCAAGATCAATATTTACTTCACCAAAAAATTTTATGTTAAATTACCACACTTCATAAAGTGTGAATACTACCAGCCTCACTCACAACTTCCAAAAAATATAAATACTACCCCAGAGTCCCAAAACATGCATTTTAAATCTTATAAAAAATAGGTTTATCTGCCTATATATGCATAGACTACTTCCAGAAGGATAAAATAGAAATTAGTAAAATTAATACCTGTGGTTGACTCCAAAGAGAGGAAATGAGGAATAAGGTGAAAAGGAGATTTCCTTCTCACTGTTCAACCATCTGAACCGCCTGAACTCACCAGGTGCATACATCACCCTTTTTTTCCATACATTATCTTTTCAAAATACAAAACATTTTTAAGTGATTTATCTGGGAATGACCTAATAATTTGTCAAAGTATTTTTTAAGTCCTCATTATTATCAACTGTCTGTGAAAAAAATGCCAAACTCGACCATGTGAAATATATAATATTAACTTTTAAAGGAACTGGGAATTGAGGAAGAAAAGAGAGATAAAATGGGTGGCCAAACGGAAATACTTTTGTAAACGAGCATTGGTAAAGAAAAAGAAAGCAGTGCAAAACACATCTGAGCCTCAGAACTAAACTACAATCAGAATGAGAGGTAGGGTTGAGAAGAAGGAGGGAAAATGATTCGTGGTACTCTCATAGTCATTACCATGGCTTTAACAAGGGCAAAGCAAAAGCTCCACTATGAAGTGCACAGAGGGGTGGGAAGAACACCCTCAGATCTGCCATGTTGCTTCCTTTGCTAGCCAAGTTAAATGTGTTAATAAAAGTTACCCAAATAGTTCATCCAAATTACCCAAATGGTATCCAAACTACTGTGACTCTGGAACCACAAGGGCCCCAGCAGGCAGAGGTTACAAAGCCATAGCCTAAAGATGCTGGGGAGCTTCAGGCCTCCCAGTTGCCTCCTGCTGTGGAGACTAACAAAAGAATGGGGCTTCCTACAGCAAGATTCAAGTTACTGGAGTAATAAACAGTTGGGAACTGATTTAGAGTTCTAAAAAATAAATTGCAAGAATTCAAAATATGCATTAATGTAGGATGAGGTTAAACACCCAGGAAGAGCTTTCATAGCATAAAAATAATAGAGAGGAGGGAAACACTCCCAAGTAGCTTAAAATTATTTTCAGTCATTTGACATGGACCCATTTATACACAAATAGCCAATCTCATCTATTCATCAGAGAAGGGCAGAGAAAACCACATTCTCAAAGCTACCTGCCAATATTTTGCTACCAAATATGTGAAAATAAAACTTAGGTTAAACATTTTGGCCAAAGGCTCCACAATTTCACCTTAGGGTTCCTTTGGTCAGATGACATTTCATTCCAGGCATTTTTCTCTTCTCAGGTGCCTATCTCCTTTACAAGACAATCTGAGAATAAGAATTTCTTTACCACTTGTTTAATAAAAACCGAGACTACAAATATATCTAGTTTTCTCTCTTTTTTGCACCTTATCAAGTGGTTCCAATTAGGCTTATTTGACCATTTATTCATAAAATGTGTGCCCTCACAAAGCTTACAGTCTCGTGTGATTCCATTCAACAAACATGAACCAGACACCGAATCTGTGCCAAGCTAAATACTAAAGAAAGTGAGAATGAATAAAATCCAAATGCTGCCCTCGGGGCATCCAAAACCTAGAGGGAAACACAGGGAGGTAATGTGTACCTGAAATAAGCCACCCAGAAAATAGTGAATTCAAACACAAGAAGCGATTAACTTTTTGGAAGTATGATCAAGGAAGTAGGAGGTGAATCCTGAGCCATTTTGAAAGATAACAAAGATTAGGTTAACAGGTTGGAGAAGAGCATTCCAGGCACAGGAAACAACAGAAGATAAACCAGCACAAGAGACATTAAGCGGTATTGCTACAACATAAAATATTTGTGGGGAGCAGGGGAGACAGGAGATTCGACTGAAAGGTGGACAGTGGTCAGCTCATGCCTGACCTTGCTCAGGTTTGACTTTATCCTATAGAGGTAAAAGTAAGAAAAGTTTTGATAGACTGCTGTGAATATTGTGCAAGGATGGGGGTGACCGACCTTTATGTAGAATATCAAGGGGTCAAAAATGATGAGAATTTAAAAATCCCTAAAGGACTGGGCAAGTAGGAGTTTGTTTACCTTAGTGGAAGCATTTTCAGTATAGACAAGGGAGTAGAAACCATAGTTTAGGGGGTTAAGGAAGTAAATAAATGAAGACAGTAAGTATAGACCATGCCTTTGAGAAGCTTAGATGAAAACAGAAGAGATGGGACAGTTGATGAAGAAAAACCAAGTGTTCAGAGAGAGACAGAGCTGTTATATCTTGTTCTTTTTTTAAAAGAACAAAAGAGGAATTTATAGGCTGAGTTTGGCGGGTAGGGGCATGGAGCAGGTCAAAAAACTAACAAAACAAAGCTAAGAAAAACAAATATCATATATTAATGCATATATGTGGAATCTAGAAAAATGGCACAGATGAACTGGTTTGCAAGGCAGAAATTGGAGACACAGATGTAGAGAACTTTCCCAGGGCAGGGAAAGTGCAGGGAGAGGGGGGTGGTGGTGGGATGAATTGGGAGATTGGGATTGACATATATACACTAAATGTATAAAATAGATAACTAATAAGAACCCGCTGTATAAAAAAATAAAATAAAATAAAATCCAAAAATAAATAAATTTAAAAAAAAACAAAGCTAAGGAGGAAAATCTGGATAGCATCAAAGAATCTCTTACTATTACTAGCTTTCTCAATTTTTGGAAGGTTTTTTTTTTTAAAGCCCATTTAACTTTTACTTTATGGACTCCTAACCTCATCCCTGCAAAGCTTCCTTTTGTGAAAGACCTCCACTATATCTAAACCCTGCCAGATTCTTGGACATTTTAGGTAGCTGGGACTTTAGTTTGTTGTTTTGTTTCCTAAATCTTTCTGATCCTCAGCAAAAGTGTACCCAATAAAACATAACTACTCTGGGAAAGTATATGTGTATTTTACATATTTTTACCTCCAGGAAAGATAAAAATGAATAAACAAATAAAGGAATGGATAAAGAAGATGTGGTGCATACAGACAATGGAATACTACTCAGCCATAAAAAAGAACAAAATAATGCCATTTGCAGTGACATGGATGCAGCTAGAGATTATCACACTAAGCGAAGTCAGAAAGAGAAAGACAAATACCATATGATATCACTTATATGTGGAATCTAAAATATGGCACAAATGAACTTATCTGCAAAACAGAAACAGACTTATGGACATAGAGAACTGACTTGTGGTTGCCAACGGGGGTGTGACTGACTGGGAGTTTGGGGTTAGTAGATGCAAACTATTAAATTTAGGATGGATAAACAACAAGGTCCTACTGTATAGCACAGGGAACTATATCCAATCTCCCGAGTTAAACCATAATGGAAAAGAATATTAAAAAAGAATATATTTATGTGTATAACTGAGTCACTTTGCTGTACATCAAAAATTAGCACAACACTGTAAATCAACTATACTTCAATTAAAAATTAAATTAAAAAATAAAGAAAAAAAGGGTCTATTGATAAGCTTTTTTCTAAATAACTGCTTTAAAAATACTAGAGATATACATTCTGAATTTTTAAAACTTACCAACTGAACATAAGCAAAAAACCTATAACCCCATGTAGATGTAGTTTCACTTTTCATTAGCTAAGCTAAGCATGTAAGTAAGTGTCACCAAAAAGCTTTTCTTATCTGAGGCATATTTAGAGCCACAGCCATACCAGGAAGCTCTGGTTGACAGATTTAGAGAGTAGATTAAAAGCCTGAGGATGCACTTTATGGTGTATATTTTTTCAGACCATTTTTTCCATACTATGTAGATACATGATGTTTACACAAAGATTAAATTACTTTTAGATACAGAGCTCTGTAACCTGCCTTTTCACTAAACAGCTCATGAAAAACTTTCTATATCCATAAATATATACATATAAAATCTTTTTTTTTTTTTTTTGCGGTACGCGGGCCTCTCACTGTTGTGGCCTCTCCCGTTGTGGAGCACAGGCTCCAGACGCGCAGGCTCAGCGGCCATGGCTCACGGGCCCAGCCGCTTTGCGGCATGTGCGATCTTCCCGGACTGGGGCACGAACCCACGTCCCCTGCATCGGCAGGCGGACTCTCAACCACTGCGCCACCAGGGAAGCCCTATAATCATTTTTATGGCCTGTAGAGTATTCCATTAACAAGCTTTTGCAGCTGAACTCATGAATGACAGCAATCTCTCCCATAAAAACACATTAAAGACATTGTCCAAGTCAACATACTTAGGCTAGACAGTCTCATTCTGTATGGCACTTCTACCTTCACTTATCATAAAGTACATATACCTGCAATTCTATCTCGGTTACCTCCTTGAGCATTATGTAATATACCTAAGTGGATGCCGTCTTGGGATGAAAAGTAAGGAAAATAAATTAGTTCTAATAACCTTTCAGAACTCTTCTGTAGAATTATAGTTTACTAATTCACAAATTGACTCTGAGTATGCCAAGTGCAAAACTTGAGCATAGCTGATAAGTCCATTATCATAACATACCACACCACCATGATTTCACACCCTGCTATGAACCATCCTATTTCTCAGTCTCCTTCTCAACTGTATACTAAACTATATCCAAGTGAAATAATGTAGCACATCAACTTTTCTTGGTAGATTTTTTTTAATTAAAAAAAAAATTTTTTTTTTTTTTTTAAATCCAACATTGCCAAATGAAATGTGAATTCAGACTCCTGGTCAGTCCTTGAATTGGGCTATTAGTAGGGCACTGTTACCCTCTTCACTTATCACAGCACTATGCTTCTCCTTAAAAGTACCACAGGTATTAAAATATCTAATCCAAATCCTTTATTTCATTATATTAGTGGCACCAAAATATCTAAAACTGTAACTCTACGTTATCAGTGAGTACAGCCCCACAGCTGTCTGTATTTTCTACTAAAGAACTATACTGCATACAAGGCACATTTGATGTTGGACAAAAGACAAAGTTTTCTCATCCACAACTGCAAATTAGCAAACAGGACTGATTCTCACGCTAGTAGTCTATTCTACGTAGCACTCAAAATTTCTGATCCAAATGCACTAGCCCAAGAATTTTATTATTTTGATGAGAAAGTATTTGAGAGGAAAAAAATTTAAGAAAATACTGCTATTTAGATGTAAGTACCTCTTTGTGTGAAAATATTTCTAAGAACTTCTTTCTTAATTCCTGTAGCTTCTAACTGTCCAGAAGTGTTGGCTTACACCAATTGTCTATATCCCTATGAAATTAGGCATTTTAGAATGCAGAAAAGCACTTTCCACCAACTTTCAGCAATCACAACTTAAAAACTTTAATATTCACCACACCCCTTACTTCAATAAATTCCAAGGAGAGTCCGCCCTAATCCCCCTTCCCAACCCCTTCACAAACAAGTCTGCATCCATCCCTACCTTTCTATGTGGCCCAGATTCAATTTGGGAAAATCTCAAGGCTTTTATGTTGCACTTACTCAAAATTCAGGAGTAGAAACATTTACTCTTGAATCGATGCTCCCCAAAAGCCGAGTGTCCCCAAACTGAGATTAACAATCATTTGAAAGACTAGTAATTTTCCACAACCATCTTCTGAAACAGCCAAACTGACACTTATCTCTATTTACAGGACATGATACTGAGGTGACTTGCTCGGGTTTCCGAGGCCCAACCAGCGTGCTAAGTCATACTTTCTGTATCCCTAATCTGTTGAGCCCCGCTGTCTTCACTGAAGGAAAAAAAAAAAAAAAAAAATTCATGTCAACAGTATGTAGCATCATGCACAAATCACAGAAATACAACTTATTAAAATTTATGAAAATCATTACAGTCAAAATACCTCTTGTAACCATGTCAAGGTAGCTGAACCACAAAGCTAAGCAGGAGTACTGATTGGTCTAGTCACCAAAGGGGGAAAAATATTCTCAACTTCCCTTTCCTGCCAAAAAGCAGTAAATATTAGTTTCTTGAATGGATTGGTTTTCATCAGGAGAAAATTGTACACACATGCTATCTTTCAGCTGTGAATACACAAGTTTAAGGTCAATCTGTTCTATAAACTCAGCTGTTTATAGAACAGATTACCCCATCGTCTCTACTTGTGAGTAACTACAGAGGCTATCAAGTTAAAGCAAGGCCTCATTAGGAACGGTCTACTAGTTCATCACCCTGCAGCCTTCTAGAGTTTACAGACCACTCTGGCTCACAGCGAAGAAGTGCCAGAATGTAAACGTCAGCCACGCAGAGAGGTTGCCAGAGTTTACAGGTTATTAAAAAAATTCACTAGCCCTTTCCATATTTAGTGCTATAGTAGTATTACTGCCCTATGGTGATACCGCCTAGTGGTAATAAGTGCTGGTTCTAGAACCAAACTGCCGGGATGTAAATCATGACTGACTCCACCACTCCATTTGACTACAAGGAGGTTACTCTGGTTTCTAAGTCTCCACTGCCTCACTTATAAAAGGGGTAACGGATAGCCCCTAACCCCTAGCTCATAGGGTTGCTGAATGAAAAGAGATAACATGGGTAAAACAGGTTTCATTCAGTGCTTGGCACATGGAGAGCACTCAGTAAATACTGGCTTACTATTACTCCTACTGCTACTGCTACCACTGTTACTACTCCCATCACCACCCAGTGAGCATGGCAGCATTAAAGTAGGGCTGGGGACTTATTTACAAATTTTGCTAAATAGATTTGATCTAATATTTTTTGGTCCTGGGCCTATGCTAATTAATGCCAATTAATGATTCAGGCAGTAAAATGTCTGACATTTATAATGTCACTCCTCCTTAACTAGAAGATCTTCCCTTCTCCACCTGTCTAAATTTTATGCATCCTTCAAGGCCCTACTCAGAATATACTTCGGAGATGAAGCCTTTTCAGATACCTCCTGCCATAATGATCTGTTTCCTTTGAGCTGAGCTCATGGTAAATATTTATTGCCTAAAATATTCAGTGGGCAATTAATCAATCACATATTGGCATGGATTCTTTTCATTTTTGTCCCATTATTAACTCATGCATAGTGTTGTGATTTTCTTTTGTTTGTTTAATATCTTTAGACTGTATAGCTCTTGAGGGTAAGAACCATATCACAATGCTTCTTTCTATCATGGACTGGAACTTTGCACATAATTGGCACTCAATGAATATGCTATTCAGTGAGTTTTCTAATCACTTCTGATTGTGCATATCAAATGTATTTTATAAAGTATGAAAAGCAGGTGTATTAATAAACTCAGATCAGAGTAGTTACAAACAAAAATGCATCATAGCCACCACTGAATTACTAATTATGTCTACCTCTCCATGGGGATTCCAGAAGTAAGAGATCACATGGCAGGGCAATGAATCAGTAACAGAGCCAGAAATACTTGCTTCTGAGCACAAGCTAAATTCTTCTGCAAAAACTACAGCCACAGTAGACTTAATACTGAATATATAACTTTGGTATCTATACTATACTATATGTCTTATATGCAAGAGTTAATAATTTCTGCCATACTTCAGACCAATAGGCACAGTGTAGTAACTAAAGAGGAATACATGCACATTGCTGGTGAGACTGTAGAATGGAGCAGCTGCTGTAGGAAACAGTGTGACAGTGCCTCAAAAGATTAAACGTGGATTTACCATATGACCCAGAAATCCCACTTCTAGGTATATACCAAAAGAACTGAAAGCAGGGACTTGAATAGCTATTTGTACACCAATATTCATAGCAGCATTATTCACAATAGCCAAAGGATGGAAACAATCCAAATATCCATAGGCAGATGAATGGATAAGCAAAACGTAGTATGTACATACAATGGAATATTACTCAGCTTTGAAAAGACAATTCTGACACATGCTACAACATGGATGAACCTTGAAGACATAACACTAAGTGAAGTATGCCAGACACAAAAGGACAAATCCTATGCGATTCCACTTATATGCGGCATCCAGAGTAGTCACATTCACAGAGACAGAAAGTAGAATGATAGTTGCCAGGGGCTGGGGAGAGTGGGGAACAGGGAGTTATTGATTAATGGGTACAGAGTTTCAGTTTGGGGACAAAAAAGTTCTCGAGATGGACAGTGGTGATGGTGGTACAGCAATGTGACTGTACTTAATGCCACTGATCTGTACATTTAAAACTGGTTAAAATGGTACATGTTATATATATTTTACCACAATAAAAATACTTCAAAAAATAGGGAATAAATAAAATATGTTACACTAAAAAAAAAAAAAAGATAAATACAGGTCAAGTCCAAAATGTCTGATTCTTACTCCCTCAGCACAGTTATCAAATTAATGCCAACAATTCACTTAAGGATCTTACACAGTAAATGAGGGATAAATTAGCCAAGTCTCAATAAATGCATTTTGTACGAGATATGATTTATAATGTATACAATCTTACATTTTTCTTGGATTCCTTTACTGGTGTTCACATGGAAAAATATCACTAATGGATGAGGGATTAATAGAGTTAACATTTAAACTACAATCTCCAAAGGGACTTGCCTTTATAAAATGTATGCCTTAAGTTACTAATAGTACCTATGAGAAAATATGATCCTCATATAAGTCACAATAATAAGGGTTTAATAATCTAGACCTGTTTCCAACATTTTAAGAATCATGATTCTTTCCTAAAATGCTTTTTTTTCCATTTACCTATAACTAAATAATACCATGTTATAAATAAAATAAAAATATTCTCAAAAATGAACTATCTTCATTGAGATAATGGCACCCATCAACCAGAACTTAGTATTTGAGAGATTCATTGAATTAAATCATTATTTTAAAATAAAATGTTATAAATATATGTCTAAGCATAAGAGGGAAGGGAGAGTGCTAAAGTTCCTGAAAAACTGCCTCCCCAGACTTCATAATACAGTTGAGCCTCATTATTAGCAAATTCTTTATTTGCAAATTCACCTACTCAAATTAATTTGTAACCCCAAAATCAATACCTGCAACGTTTTCACAGTCATTTGCAGATACTTGCAGAGTAAGAAAAAATTTGAGTCACCTGACAGACGTGTACATTTCCAGCTGAGACAGAACAAGGCGTCGCTCTGCCTTCTTGTTTCAGCTCTCATACTGTAAACAAGTGTCCTTTTCACGGTCTGTTCAGTGCCAGGTTTTTCATATTTTTGTGCTTTTTTGTTGATTTTACGATTGAAAAAGGCCCCTCAGTGCGAGGCTGTGTCCCTAACCACAGGAAGGTTGTGATGTGCCTTATGGAGAAAATAGGTGTTAGATGAGATTTATTCTATCTAACTATAGTGCTGTTCACTATGAATCCAAAGTTAATGAATCAACAATATATACTGAATAAGGTGTCTTTAAACAGAAACACATATAAAACAAAGTCAGTGTATATATGTCCATGCCACTCTCTCACTTCGTCCCAGCTTACCCTTCCCCCTCCCCATGTCCTCAAGTCCATTCTCCACGTCTGCGTCTTTATTCCTGTCCTGCCCCTAGGTTCTTCAGAATCATTTTACATATATGCACTACCAAATGTAAAATAGCTAGCTAGTGGGAAGCAGCTGCATAGCACAGGGAGGAGATCAGCTCAGTGCTTTGCGTCCACCTAGAGGGGTGGGATAGGGAGGGAGGGAGGGAGGGAGGGAGATGCAAGAGGGAGGAGATATGGGGATATATGTATACATATAGCTGATTCACTTTGTTATACAGCAGAAACTAACACACCATTGTAAAGCAATTATACTCCAATAAAGATGTTTAAAAAAAAAAAGTCAGGTATTGATCACTTGACGAAAATGTTGTGTGCAATGACTGGCAGGACCCTAACCCTACATTTCCCCTGGGAGCAATGGTTCCGTATTCACTAATTTGGTGTTCATGGCAACTTTACATAAGTACCATGAATAACAAGAATCAACTGTATTTTGTAAAGAAAACTCTGGAGGAAAAAAAATAGATCAGTGGAATTGAAAAGAGAGCCCAGAAACAGGTCTATGTAAATGTACCTGCAAGCATCATAGACATCAGTAAGAAAAGGTTAAACTACACAAGAACTGTCCCAGGACAAGTGAACATAAATCTGGGAAAAATGAAAGGGAATCCTCATCTCACAACACAGAAAAATTCAATCCAGCTAAAATGTGGAAAGCAAACTTTATTCCTATGAGAAGAAAATAGTTATTTTTTTTTAAATAGGAAAAGAGCTCTAAGATCTTGATTTAGGGAAATATTTCATAAGCAAAATGCAAAAAGGAACCATAAAGGAGAAGTCAAATGAAAAACTTTTGATCATCAAAAGGCTTTAAACACAGAAAAAGACAAGCCAAAAACTGGAAGATAATTGCAACACATGTAACTAACATGGGGGAACTCCTAAAACCAATAACAAAAAGGCAAACAACTCAATAGAAAAATGGAAAAGACATGAACAAGTATTTAACAGAAGATAAAATTCAAAAGACTGATAAATATATGTAAAAGATGTTCAAGTTCAATAATTCAGAAACAGAAATTAAAATCTCAACAAACTATCATTTTATATAAATTAGCAAAACTTAAAAATTCTGACAATACCAAGTGCTAGAGAAAATGTGGAAGAATAGGAACTCTTCTATTGCTAGTGAGAGTACAAATACCTTGGAAAACCATTCATCATTGTCTAGTGAAGCTGAAGATGCACATTCCCTGTGACCCAGAAATCCTCCTTCTCAGTGTAAACTCTACCGGAACTTG